CTTAGCAAACATAAGACACATTGAGTCTACTCCCTATCCTCCAGGGACTTTTTGATTTACATTTCGTCATGATCTCTAATTTCCTGTGACTTGATTGTTTTTTCTTTCTGTATTTCAATTATCTGTCAGATTTAAAATCTCCCTAAGCAGGAGGTTGATATTATTCTCAGTTAATTTGAGGAGGTACAAAGTCAAATAAGGGGTTGCAGCCTCAGTAAGCTTAACCATTTTCTACGTATCCCAAGTCCTAAAAAACATGACTAGAATTTTTTTGAAAGCAGAACTTGTAAGATTCCCCATAAAAGGGCTGGCTTAGAAACAGATCTGAAAATATTAGGAAAAAAATTTCCCTCCTTACTCTGACCCAAAAACTTTGGCTTTTGAAAAAACTTTGAAATGAACAGAAACAAAATACCCTTTTTGGAACTAGCAAGGTCTTCGTGTGACTTCTTGGCTTTTACTTCCTACCAAATATTATCTAAAAATAAATTCAAACCTAAAAATGCAGGGAACATTGTGTAATATTTCTTTAAGATTTATTTATTTATGCATACAGAACCAGGGGACAGGCCAGCGGTGCAGGGGCGGTGAGAGGATTCACCAGAGACAGAGTGGGGAGCAGAACAGGCAGATCAACTAAGTACACTGCTGAGGGGAACAGCAGGGTAAACAGGAGGGGTCTGCTGTACCACGTGGTCACCTCTGATGAGGACCGAACTTGCATTGAAAGGGCTTCGGCTTGCCTGCAGTGCTGCGCTCTAACCTGCTGCACCACCATGGAGAGTCATATGCAATACTTTTGCTGCTGCATCCTGATTGCTAGAATAGTGTCTGGTCTATGTTACACACTTCACAGCTATATGCGGAATGAATGCAAGTATATTTACCTAAAATCTAGCTCTTTTTGGGGTTTCCCTCTGCAACTCCCCCGCTACCACAGGGGCCCGCTGGATCTTCCCATTACTTCTCCAGATGGCTCCATTTCCAAAGTCATGCAGAGTCATCCCTCCTTTGAGGGTGCCCTTCCTGGTGGAGCAGTGGATTAAAGAGCAGCAATAGGAAGCTAGAGCAGCCACTTCAGCATGAGTTCAATCCAGGTGGGGGAGCTGACCCACCTGGTGCAGCAGACCTCTCTCCTGTCTTGCCTGCTGCTCCCTTCAGCAGTGTATTTCATTGATCTGCCTGTTCTGCTCCCCACTCTGTCTCTGCTGAGTCCTCTTACCCCCAAACCTCTGCCTCTACCCCAGTTCTGTATGCATAAATACAATTTTAAAAAAAGAAAAAGAAAAAAAAATTCAGCTCCTCAGTCTTCTTGTCCACATCCATCGCCTATCAACAGTTCAAGGAAATAAAACAACCATCTATATTCTGGCCCTATTTTCCCTAACTTCAATAGCCATCTTACTCCAGAGTTTTTCTCCTAAATGGCGCACTTGCTTTTGCTAGCAACCACTAATATTTGAGGGCTTACTAAGCATAGGACACCTTGCTCAGGCTTAATTTCATTTAAACTTTCTAAAACTTCATGAAGACAGTAAGATACAGAGGCTTAAATAAAAGTTTAAAGATCACTCAGCTCAGGAGTGGTAAAACTGTAATCTAACCCCAGGTCAGTGAGGCTTTCCAGTCTGTGCTCTTAACCACCTCACTGGGATGGAAAGAATAAAGATGGAAAGAATAAAGATGTAAACCCTGCTTGGTTACTGTGTCATGTGGGCTTTTGACCTTAAACAAAATAAAATCCTCACTAGGCCTCTAATTCATAAAACACTGGACTAAAGGAGGTAAATACCTGACATGCCACACGTGTAAGCATCCAACCCGGTGGTAGGTACTAAAGACACAAAAGTGTCCTCCCCTTTCATGGAGTGATATACAACAGCTAGTGGGTGCTCAATAAGTACCTGATGGATGGACAAACCCCCCAGGTCTGCCAGCCTCCACTCTGCCTCTCTTCAGTTAGTCTACTAGAAAGCAATCTGATGAGGGCCCTTTCCTGATTAAAATCCTTCAGGGGATCCTCACTAACAAAGAGACAAAATCCAAATTTTTTTTAACACAATAAAAAATGGCTGTCGGTAAATGGGTGGGTTCCCCTCACTACTGCCTCTTCTATCATCAGTGAAATGCTTCCTTCATTATGAAATCGATTTGGAAGTATGAATTGTAAACCAGATCTGGGTGGACCTATTCTGGTAATGACATAAAAAGTGGACTTACCCCACCCCAACACACACACACACACACACACACACGTGCATCCTATGACAGTATCATGGGTGAACTTAACAATGAATCTTAAGCTCATTTTTTTAAAACTGTAGGACATAACTTATTAGTGGATTCAGTCACTGGAATCAGTGATTTGGGAAACAAAAATAAAAGTGTATTACAAGAACTAATAATAGCTAAATGTTGAGCTATAAAACCTATTATATCTACTGAGTTATGATACAAACTATTTCTTATTGTAGTTCACAGACAAAAAGTTTTGAAAGCCATTGCTTTGAAGGATCTCTGTTCTCAGTGCCTTCCACATTTCATGAGTCATATCAAATTCTCCATATCAAACCTCTTGCAGTGAAAACCCATTTTGCTTTTCACTTTCATGCCTCTAAGGATCAGGCATGGTGCTAGGCATGTAATCATGAGAAAAACCAAGGTCACAACACTTCAGAATCTATACAGACAGGTATTGTACCAATCTCACTAACAAATATATAACTATGAACCAACATAAGCAGTCTGAATAAAAAAGATACAATTTGCAAGATTATATCAAAGCAATTGGTCCAAGGAAATAGCCTAGAAGAACTAGCACAGAACTAAAGAATGTCAGAATTAACTATGTAAAAGGGCCGAGGAAGAGCATTCCACGCACAACAGAATGCCTGTGGCCCTGAGCTGAGAGAAAGCATGGCCTCTTTGAGGGACTGGAAACAGGCCAGCGTGCTATATAGCCCGGAAAGCAAACAGGAGACAGGTACAAGATGGGACTGGAAAAGCTAGCAGTGGTTCAATCCGGCAGTGACAGTAGACCAGGATTTTGTTTTCTCTCCTCAGAGTCACAGAAAGCTATGAAAAGGATTTAAACAGATGATGAAATAGGAGCTGTGAAGGCAGTGTGTGGTGTCAAAGACAGGCCAGAGGCAGGAAGGAATGACTGTGAGCAAACCAGTTAGGAGACTAATAGATACAGTCCCAATGAGTGGCACAGTGAATTCATTTACGGTATTTAAAATCAGAGAAAGGGTGGTGGAGAGGGAATGGAGGACTTCTAGGTTTCTAGCTGGTACAACTGGATAAATGGTGCTGCTGGCTGAGCCAACTGGAAGACACAATTGGGTTTAGTTTTGGAAATGTTGCATTTAGGGTGCCTTTGACTTGGATATGTATCCTGGCTAAGACAACCTGGAAGTCATGGGTAACAGGTAATAAGTGAAACTGGGATAAGAATGAGAAAAAGGCCTGAGAATAAGGCCTGAAGGCCTCACCAATTCTTGATGCTACATTTCTATGTCTTACAGTTGTGTGTGAATACACACAGTTAACACAATTATTCCTACTTTAAAGTTCAAATCCAGAAATAATAAAAAGTGAGTCTACTCATTCCTTGGGTAATTACAACACACTTTCCCACAATCTACTTTTCAAAATCAGCAATATAGTGAGACTATTTTTCTGTATCCAGGTATAGACAGTTCTACCTTATTCCGCTGAATAACTACAAAGCCCTGCATTGTAGGACTGCATCACAATTCCATAAACTACCAGTCCCCACAGACAGTTGAACGATCTGGCAAGCAGTTACTTGTCTATTTAATATCCACCATCTACCTTCTGCCTTGCTCACTGAACCCTGCTTTTATTCCAACATGTTCAGTCCCAGGTAATGGTTTTATGATTGGCTTAAGCCAGCTGAGACTATCCTGTTGCCCATCTTTTCACTTCCCTTGCAGCTGTGTGGTCATGTTATTGGGTTCTAACTAATAACCCTAAAGAGACATCTGCTGTGAGGGTTTTTGAGTTAGCTTTTGTTTTCCTGACAAAAGTAGGTAGCACTAAAGTAATACTCTTTCCCCTCTCCTCCTGTTTTGGACATGAATATGATGATTGGAATTCAAAAAAGTCATTTTGCAACTATAAAGCTGTAAGCCAATACTAAGAATAGTTAAACAAAAAGAAAGTCTGGCCCTAATATACATAGAGAAGACACAATTTAAACACTGGCTCATTTTAAAGAATCCAAATATATTCCTACTTAGGAGCCTGAAAAAGTGAAAATGAAATATTTGGATCAAAAATTGGGTATAGAGATATAGAGTAATAAGAAGCACACTTAAAACAAGATGACAGGGAAATTATTTTTCAGTATTCATGAGAATACCTTTAGGTGTTGGCTCCAGAAAAATTTTCTGGCTCCCTGCCAAGCACAGACCTCTGTTCTGTAATTGATAAATGGCTTTTGTACACAATCTCTAACACCTCTTGCTTTCTCAATTTGAGATTTCTATCTTCTTGCCTCATCGTTGAAAATATGCCAAAAATGAGATTATCTTTTATCTGAAAACTTAAGAAGATGTGTCATTTGGGTGAGCTAAATACAAACAAAATAAAAAGGGAGGCTCTCCCGGGTGGATCAACAAATTAAAGCACAGTACTATGAAACTATATGCAGCCACTGCAGCACGAGCTTGACTACCAGCCAGGGAGGTGACCCACATGGCGCGGCAGACCTCTCCTGACCCGCCCTCTGCTCCCCTCAGCAGTGTGCTTCATCAATCTGCTTGTCCTGCTCCCCACCTTGTCTCTAGTGAATCCTCTCACTGCCCCCTGTACGTCTGGCCCATGCCCCAGTTCTGTATGCATAAATAAATCTTTTTTCTTTTTTAAAAAAAAAGGAAGCATAAGCAGTGTAACTTAAAATCAGAATGAAAATTATTCTCTTTTTGAGAATAAGTGTTTTGTAGCTATTTAATTCTAGGAAACAATTTCTAGTATTTCACATTCTGAGGTTAATAGTTTCTTATGTTCTCAATTTTACCAGCTTCTCATGTTCTAGCAAAATATAAGATGTTAGATTTCTTGAAATTCAGCAACTTGTAGTTCACTTAAACACATGAAAACTTAATACATTTAAACTGTGTGAGAAAACTGTAATTTGAAATATTAGACACAAAACAGTTTTATGTATAGTCCAAATTGCACATAATTATACCTGTGCTTCTAAACAAATAGAATCTCACATGTGTATTACATTTTTACAGTTTACAAAATGTTTTTTATATACATTTCCTCATTTTTAACACAGATATGTGAAAGTCTTATTTCACAGATGGAAATAGACCCAGACATTATTCAATGTTTGAACCATTATATAATATGGCCCTGAGACTTTAGATCTGCAAAGGGTTTTAATAATGTAAATATCACACATATTTTAGTTCTATCACCATTTTCACGTCTCTATTTCCTTAACAAAACAGAAATGAGAAAAGTTTCCCATAATCTAATAACAGAACTGGAAATATTATATAGTCATTTACTAATCCAATGAATCTTATTTACCCAGAAACCAAGTTCACTTTAGGGGTCCTATATTGTTACCTATGTTCAAGGCACCAGTATCAAAACAACATTTAAGAGAATAATCTATTCTAAAGGAAATGATGCAGGATACGCCTGCTGCCTCCAAGCTCAATGCTTACCTATGTGTAGACTCCAAAGGACCAAGAAAGATACATAAAACACTTTGCCTAGATTTGGAGTCATAAGGTTTGATTGCCCCAGGTTAATCTTACAGGGACTTGGAACTCATTGGGTTGTAGGTAATACATTTATTTCCCCCACCCCCAAGTACCTTGTACCATTTAGATTAGAAATTCCAATTAGGTAGCCTTCTTTCTGAATTCTCTTTCCTACCGTATAATTTTTTTTTAGAATTTTCCTTTCCTTGTTTCTAAATCTTAAAGACATTTCTTTATAGTAGATGGGGGACCCATAGCTTATATTCACTGCCAAAAGGGGGCCAGTTTCAGCATTAATTTCCTAGCAAAAAGATGACAGAAAAGAAAAGTTGAACAGAGAATGGTGATAACTGGCAAAGCAGTGACACCTGCATTTAGAAAGCTGCACTGCAGCTCTCCTATTCTGAGGTTATCCTTTTGTTCTTAGCCAATTTAAAGGGGAAAATTCTGACTGGTCCTGAGTTCAAAGCAGACCATTATGTTTGTATCATTGGTTCAATGAGTCACTCTATTTGATGATATAATACTTTTATTGCATTTGAGGTCATTTTCAATAAATATCGAGTTTGAGGCCTTGGCTAGGTAATCCTTTTGCACTAGAAACCAGTTTTTCTGGCACAACTCCATTGCCAGCAATGGGATTTATCAAAACTACAAATGTCAACACGTTGAATATTTCAATACTGTATTCAATTGTTCATATCTAAATATTTCAGCTATGAAACAAACCAAATGTAAACGCTTAGTATATAGTATAAATCAACATATTCTTCACAGAAGAAAATCATGAAAGACTAATTTCTACATGTCACCTGTTCATTAGTTCTTCAGTAAAGTTACTTAGGTAATCTTCAGGACAGTAAAATTTATGCACCTCTAACCATGTTTTTTCAACATTTTTTGATCTAGTTCTAAAGGGCATAAATAAGGATGCACATAGTTTGAATTGTTCTTACAACTTTCGATGTTCCATTTGTTGTGCATCTTACAATAATGAATATATGGAGACAAGGACAAATGTACATTTACATCATTCGTAGTTACATGAATTTTGCTTATATGGCTAGTTGCTTATATGGGTCTTATAAATAACAAGATAAAATAAAGTTTGATAAGCTTGTCCGTGCCCTATGAACTTTAGTCCACTCATGGCATGACTTGATATAGTCATTGTTTATTAGTTTTTAAAAATAGCTTTTAAAAGCTACAAACCATACTTTATTACACATTTCTGAATCATGAAGGGGTAAAGTGTGACACAGATCTCTTGTGCCAGTGACTTTCTGAGTAAAGTTCTGTAATAAAATAAGAGTCTCCAAACTCTTAATAAAAAAAAAAAAAAAAAAAAAAAGAGCTTAAATGTTTTTCACTCTACTGTCCCTTTTACCCAAGGCACAGTCCCTGGTACATCTTTTTGAGGTTTAGTTTCTGGAAAGTTTTCAGCAAACCTCTCTCGTGCTTTTTCCCAGTTCTTTTTGCTCTTGTTTTGGAGAAGGTGAATATCTTCAATTGAAGATGGTTTGCCTGTCCCCAAGCCTGCATGTGTTCTCCGAAGCTGAAGTTGGATCTGTTACCAAAAGTTGAGCAGAGGACTTACTGTAGAGTCTAAACACACTGAAATCTGCTGTGTCAAGATTATGTTTCCAGTTTCTGTTACCCATAAACTGGAATTCTTTGATTTTAAAAAAGAATAGTGTAAGCCTAACAAATACATACAGGAATATATATATGCAACATTGAAACTTAAACTTAGTTTTTTATACCTTTGTCTGTCAATAAGAACTCTGATGCCAGAGAAAATAAGATTGCACTTTAAACAGCAATCACCAAATTTCATTAAGATAGAAAGAATCTATCATTCCACCCTAAATAGAATTAAAGGAAAAGAGGTATTTAAACCAACTTTTTTTAGTCTCACTTGAGTGAGTGAACAGGTAGGTTAAACTATTAATTATAAAAAAGAGTTTTTTGACCTTATTTTTGCTAATAGGAGGGTAGAACTTTCCGTTATTTTAATAACCATTAAAAGCTATTAGTTACTGCGTGCCCAATATATGTCAGGCACAATGCTAGGAATTTTAGCTTTACAAGATCTCTGAAAAGCAATTTTCATTAGCCTCATTTTTACGTAAGAAAACCGAAGTTTATACTTGCCCTATCTCACATGTCTAGTAAGTGATAACAGCACATTCTAACTACAAAAACTATGTCCTTTCCATTCTATCTCAATGAAAATAAGAAAGTTTACATTAAATTCACATGGACTTGGCATTATGTATTTAGATACAAAGAAATTATCAAGGAAATTCTTCAGCCATGTTATTTTGTAAGATTTTTGTAAAAGATGATCTGAATTTCCACTGAACCATGCTACTAGAAAAACTTCTGTATAAATTTAGATATTATTTTATTGCTGGTAACAGGGTCTGCTACTTGAACCTGATCCCAGTTAATAATCTGCCTATCTGTAAACGCTAATTGATACCACAATGTTTACTGCCTGACATAAGAAAGTTACTAAAAACAACCAAAAGACACAGAACTTTTGACTCAAAAAATAGCACTATCCTATTATGTTTATACACATAAACATTCTCTTTCTCTCCTCTTCCTCTAGTAATGTGAATCACAAATGGAGTAATCAAGTCTACTTTTGTTTGCTACTTGATTCCGAGTATTGAAAGGCAATGCCTAGCATACATTAGGTTCACAGTCAGTATCTTCTGTAGGGATATGGAATAAAAGAAATCACAAATCTTACCGGAGTTTTCATTCCTCCACCATCCTTTCCTAGGCCCTCTCCTTTTTTCCAACCCATTTTCTCCAACATCTTCCGACCTTTGTTGCTATCAGTAATTTCACTTTAAAGAAAATTTAGATAAGAGCTGATTTTTAAAGACCATTTAAGACATATACACACATATATTGTAAATTAATGAATTAAGAAAAAGTAATGTAACTATTCTGCAAAACTTTTGACATTACCTAATGAAGCTGAGGATATGCAAATTCCACAACCACATAACACTAGTTTAAAAAAAATCAGGTACATGGGACAGCAAAAAAGACATATGAGCTCTTTTAATAAATCTGACACTCATAAATAGTAAAACAACCTAGAAGCCCATCAGTGATAAAAAGAACAATTTATAATGATAAACTGTAACAGTAATAAGAGAATATTATATAGCAATGAATAAAAAATATATACCAAACAAAATGTTATAGAATATAAAATAAATACTGAATTATTCCTTTTCAACTATTCCTTAAAATTTTAAATTGATGAGATCAATCAGTTGCTACTGGAAGTCAGGTGAGTAATAACCTTTGGTGAAGACTGAAGAGTAGTAACTAGGAGGAGGTATTAGGGAGCTAAGCTTAAGGGGTTACTGATTATTTTCTACTTTTTTACCACAAATTTGTATTTGGCTATGTTTAAGTTTCATATTATTGATACTGACATTAATAATTGTGTACTTCTCTGTACTACTGTAAATCTCTCACTGACTACGTTTTGTTCTATGATTTTATATTCTGCTTATTTAAGGGAATTTTAATTTTGTTCTATAATTTTCTCAGTTCTACAAAACATTTTTTAGATATAATTGACATATAGGCGTTCCACCTGTATGTGACATACAGCAAAATTGAGTTTTCATAATATATGATTTATTTATTTATGCATACATAAACTGTGGTATAGGCCAGAGGTGCAAGTGAGGTGGGGGAGAGGGGTGAGAAGATTCACCAGAGACTGTAAGGGAACAAGCAGATCTACTGAAATACACTGCTGAGGGGAGCAGCGTGTGAATCAGGAGAGGTCTGCTGAGCCATGTGGGTCAACTCCCAGGCCAGTGATCAAATTCATGCTACAGTGGCTGCAGAAACTTCATAGTGCTGTACTTTAACCCACTGTGCCACCAGAGAGGCACCTTGTTTTTTGTATATATATTTAAATATTAAATCAGCTCTTCAATTAAAAACCCACAAGGACATCCCTGATGGTGTAGGGGTCAAAGTCTCAGCATTATCAAGCTATCACCAGTCACCACTACATAAGTTCTATTCCTGGTCAGGGAGCTAACCAACATGGCACAGCAAACCTTCCCTGTCTCACCTGATGCTCCCTTCAAGCAGTGTATTTCAGTAGATCCCTTTGTTCTGCTCCTCACTCTGTCTTTGGTCAACACTCTCACCCACTGCAGTTCTTGTCTGCATAAATTAAAGACCTCAATTCTCAGCTCTTGCATAAATTAAACCTCAGTTTTTGTCTGCATAAATTTTTTAAATTCTTAAAAAAAAAAATCAATGTCATACCAATAAGAAACATGACATTTTAATTTGTCTTTAACTCCAATACAATATTCATATTCATACTCTCCAGCAATTATTTAAAAAATATTAAACTTTCATAAATATTTGTAATGTTGCCTAACATATTTACCATATAATACCATGTTATATACTGAATATCTAATATGTACTATACCTGACTCCATTAATTTTAAGAAGCACCTTTATTTGATGTGACATTATGCAAAAACTGCTACCATATTATCTTTTAAAAAGTTATAGGTACACAGTATGTCTTACAATAAGTAAAATATATTTAAATCAAAAATTGGTTATTAGTTATCAGCTTCATACAAAAGATTTAAACTTTAATTAAATGCAGAATTTATATTCCAAGAAAAAATAATGTAGCTAATAGATTAAGTGCAGAAATACTAGTCCATAACAATTTTTACTAGCCTAGGCTTTCAGAGAGTTATTGATAGTACACAAAAGTATGCTCACTCGGTTGGTAACTAAATGTTAGCCAGGCATATATATGTGTTTAAGTATGTATACTTACATATATATTTAGCAATATTCTAAGGAGTCGGATTCTACTGAAAGGAAAGTATAAAGAGAAGTAATGCTTCTTTATCTGAATCACTCTTTTCAAGGAGACCTATTAGAATATGTAGCCCTATAAGTCAAATTACTCTATGAATGTGATTATGTATAAAAAATGTTTTAAACAATTAAAATTTAATACTTACGAATGAACAGATGCTGGAGCATCATCTCTTTGGAAAATTCCTTCACTTCCAATCTGCTCCCTACGTTTTCCAGCTCTATCTTTATATTTTGGATTCTTCAGAGCCTTTTCATCTTCATAGTCTGTATTCTTTATAAACATGAAATATTCATTGAGGAAAACAAAGCTGATAAATAAAAATGTAATGTCTATATATTTGCCTTACTTAGCAAATATGGTTCAATTTGATCTCTATTAAACAATGAACTAAAACAAGTCATGAGAAATTAAGACAACTATATTATTGAATATGCTAATTTAATTCTAGCCACTTATAAATGTTGATATTATTTCACATTGTACTACAACACAAATATTATAAAAAACATAAATCACATATAAATTATAAAAGGTAATCATAAGATAGTATGGTAAAAATATTTTTGAACTTAATGCTGTATGTTCACATTCTCAAATGAACTATAAGTATTGAAAGAAATATGAGAACCACTGGGATTGGAAGAAAATTTTTACTCCTTTTCTCAGATCATAGAACCTAAAATACTTTCACACTGTTCCTTAGAAGTGAAAAATGTAGAAAATCTTCATAAGAATGAATAAAAAGCAAACACTGTTTTACCCTGGCAATAAGAAAAATTTTGGCATCAATACATCTCCATATATCTATGATTAATCAGTCACTCAACAAGTATTTACTGTGTTAAGTTCTACACTGGATGATAGAATACAAAGAAATGTGTAAGGGCAGACACACATAATCTTTAGCATGTTACAGCATGACTGCTTCAACAATAAAAGTATACACAAGATGTGGCAGTTGCAGAGAGAAGTAGTAGTCAACTCAGCGTGGGTCTTCAGAGAAGGCTTCTCTTCCCCTTTGTTAGTACTTGCTGATCTTTATTTAAAAAGTACGACATTCATCCACAGAGATGCTAGGAACTGCTAGAGCAATTCAAGGAAAGTACCACAGATGTTTTTACTTAATTTTGCTTTTAAACAGAGAAGAAAAATAAAGAGCCACCAACCCAAAAGGTTTTCACCCCAGAAAATGATACAGAATTGAAAATATTAAGAAAAATATTTTTATTCCCTCCTTTTCTATATTATTTTCCTCTCAAACTACACCGTTTCCCCCCCCATTATGATTGCTCTCAATACAACAAAAAATAAACTTTCACATAAAAAATGTTATTTCATAGCATCTTTACACATCCTCATGAACTGTAAAAAGCACCAAATACAATTTAAATACAGATTCTACATCTAGCTTTAGTAGCCAACTGATCCTTTATCTAAGGAGTTATTACCTATCTAATCAATTTATAGAATTAAATGGTAACATTAATGGCAATAGTGAGGTTTAATCAATACACAATAAGTTGTACAAAGTATGAAATGAGATACCTCTGAGATCTATTAAATGGCATGAAACCACCATGACAGGATAATAAACATATCGTTCTTTGTCATCCATCTCTGCAGACCTTCTGTGAACACCCTTCCTCTCCTGTGTACAGGCAACCACTGATTTCTGTAATATGTTTGCTTTACTAGAATTTTATATAAGCAGAAATATACAGTATGTACTCTTTTGTACTGCTTCTTTTATTCAGAATGATGATTTTGAAATTCATCCATACTGTAGCCTGTATCAATAGCTACATTTTATATGGCTAAACAGTACTTGACTATATGGATAGATCATAGTTTGCTTATCCATTCATGACAGACATGATTTATTTACAGTTTTTGACTATTAAGGGGAAAAACTTGCTATGAACACCTATTTACTAGTCTTTGCATAACATATGCCTTTAAATTTCAAATGAATACCTTGGAGTAGCATGGATGAATCATGTGGTCTTGTATTTACTTTAAAGAGTTAAGCAAGCACATTTTATATTTAAAAGAGCAGTATCTCAGAGTTCCACTACTCTTGAGGCTCACAACACTTGAAATAGTCTTTTGATTGGCTTTAATTCATAATTCTCTGTAACTAGTGAACATCTTTTCATGTGTTTATCATCTGTACATCTGCTTTGGTGAAGTGTCTATTCAAATCTTTTCCTCACTTTTAAACTGAACTGCTTTATTACTGAGTGTTGAGTTTTTATTTTCCAGATATTAGTTAGTATGAATTTATCAGATATGTGATTTGTGAATATTTTTCCTAGTCTATAACTTACCATTTCATTTTCTTAACAGCGTCTTTGGAAGAACAAAAGTTTTGGAGGAAGCACAACAATTTTTTTCTATGGATTGTGTTTTTTGGTGTTAGACAGCTAAAGATGATCTTCATATAACTTTCTTTTTAAAGGTTTGCTTCCAGAAGTTTTAAACTTTTAAGGATTTACGCTGAATATAAGATTCATTTTGAATTCCTTCTTACATATGGTATAAGTTGTGCAGCAAAGTTCATTTTTGGTTGTTTTTGCATGTGGCCATCCAACTGTTTCAGCATCGTTTGCTGAAAAAGCCCATTTGCCCCTCCCTGGTGGTACAACTGCTTAAAGCACAGCACTATGAAGCTACTTCAGCCACTGCATGAGTTCGATCCCCAGCCAGGGAAGTGCTCCACATGATGCACAGACCTCTCGTGACCTGCCCGCTGCTCCCCTCAGCAATGTACTGTCGATCTGCCTGTTCTGCTCCCTACTCTGTCTCTGGTGAATCTATCACCGCCCCTGCACCTCTGGCCTGTACCCCAGTTCTGAATGCATAAATAAATAAATCTTTAAAAGGAAAAAAAGGAAAAGCCCATCTTTTCTCCAGCAAACTGTATTTACACCCTTTGTTGAAAATAATACACATACACTTACACACACACATACACTTACTCACCCTCACACACGGATATAACAAGTTACATTTGAATTCATTATTCTATCAATTTACTTATTTATCTTCGTGGATTGTCTCAATTACTGTAGTTTACAAGTTTTCCAGTCAGGCAGCATTAATCCTCTATGTTCTTCAATAGTATCATTTAAATGCAAGTTTTGAAAAACAGAAATGGCTATTCAGAGGTAGGGCATTACCATTTCTCTATTCCAACCTCAATAATTAAGGTAAAAAGTAACAAAGTTATATATGTAACTAAATCAATCTAAATAGTTCTCTTAAAGGCATTTTTAATGAAAATGTATGTACTGTTTAACACAAGTAACAATATTTAACATCCTTACCTGCAAACCATATTTCACTCGTATTTTCTTTAGTTCTTTTCTTCTTTCCAATTCTTTTTCCTCCTTACTCAGTGTTGGACCAACTAAAAGAAAAAGTGATTATAATTCAAAAAACAAACCCACACAATAGATACCTCAAAAAAATTGTGTGCAGCCATTACAGAAAGTAATCTGAATTTACCTAAAAAAAAATTAGAAACAGTATCCATATGGCCCACTCTTCTCACTCTTGGGCATCAATCCAAGTAACATGAAATAGCAACCTGAAAAAACTACATGCTCTATAATGTTTATTACAACACCATTATAACAGCTGGGAAATAGAAGCAACCTAAATGCCCTTAAAAAGAAGACTGGATTAAGGTATAGTGTATCCACAATGTGGAATACTATTCAGTCATAAGGAAACATGAAATGCTTCTATTTACAGCAAAACCAAAGGGGTTCAAGGAAATTACAGGTAGTAAAGCAAGTCAAAATAACAAAGACAAATGCTGAATTTTTACACAGCACATTACAAAAAACTAGCAGACACTAATAAACAAAGCAAAGTTTGAGGTAAAGAATAAGAGGAGAGGGGGAAAAAGTTAAAGAATTCAATGAATGGTGGTGGGTAAAAATAAACTATATAAAAGCTAAAATTAAATTTTTTAAGGTTTATTTATTGATGCATACATAACTGGGATACACGCCAGAAATGCAGGTGGTGAGAGGATTCACCAGAGACAGAATGGGAAGCAAAATAGGCAGACTGATGAAATACACTGCTGAGGGGTGCAGCAGACAGGAGAGGTCTGCTTCTCCATTAAGGTCACCTCCCTGGCCAAGGATCAAACTTGTGCTGAAGCGGCTGCGGCTAGCTTCATAATGCTACACTCTAACCCGTTGGAACACCAGGGAGGGCCCAGAAAAGCAAAAATTTTATACTTCAATTTAATAACATAAAAACTAATAGTAGGCCGGGCCCTCCCTGGTGGCGCAGCGGGTTAAAGCACAGCACTAAGAAGCTTAAGCCAATTCCTCATGAGTTTGATCCCCGCCTGCCCCAGAGGAG